AGCTGAAGGACCTGTGGGAAACAAAATGGGATACCATGGGCATTTTGTTCCGGGAAATACTGTAGTTTATATTTGTCGCTTTGCCGTAGATACTTGGGTCTTACACACTGTTTTGCCTGACCATAATATTATATCAGTCCCGCTAAAAGCTATATCACCCTGTTGTTTCAACAAAATCGCTAAAAGGTATCAGAGAAACACCAATGTTGACATTCGCCTTTCTATCTTGGCCCTCAACTGGACATATATTCTATCTTGTAAAGAGATCTTGCAGCGTCCAGGAGGAAGACCGCCCATCTTGTTCACAATAACCATCATTGCAAGTTTCCCACACAATGTTGTCTTTGTACGGTTCAAGAAAGACAGTACAGGTAGTGTTGTACGGCGCCGTCTGGTCATCGCCTCTTCCACGTCCATCAAATGTTGTATTAGCGAAAAATGACTTGATTTCAATACCAATTTCAATTTCCGGTTTTGAGGTGAAAACGTTCAAAGGAAAGGGTTTTTATAGGCTTTGCCTGTTGCTCACAACAAATGTTTTTGAAATGAATTGAAAAACGTTTATATATCTTATTCTATAGGTTATCATATGAATTCTACCTAACAATGTACTGATTAAACATGATAGGTTGGTTGGTCTGTTGTATTGGGTTTAACGTCCTACAAACAGCAAAGGTAATTTAAGAACGTGCCTATATGTGTGTTGGAGACAGGGTATGTTGGTTTAGTTGTCTCCAAATGTGAAAGCGTAGATCTGATGCCGACTTTGTAGTGATATCTCATGATCACTGATATACCATGGCAAAGGCTACCAGCACAGTATTCCACCCAGTCGTATACAACTGACAACAGGTGAACAATTGTTACCATTAACCTAAATGCTGAAAGAAAAGCAGTGAATACAAACTACCATTGACATTTGTTATGAACTTTGGTATGTTCCGGCCTGAAGATAGACCCCATTGCTTTCCTGATCTGGGCGAACACTCAACACTAAAGCCAAAAGTGGGGCACTGCGAGGCAATGCGCTAGGAAATAAAGGATAGTTGGAATAGAAAGAAATATATAAAGACTCCAAATATTGCATTTGGTGCAACACATTTATTTTGGTCACTTTGTGTCTCCAAGTAGAGGGCACAAAAGCAAATCCCCAATTCCGCAGGGGGTTCCCATATTAGTCGCCTCTTACAATACATACAGGGGGTAACAGCAGGTGTACTCTTTCTCGATCGATAGGAATAGGATAGGAATTGTCCATCCTATGTTATGGTAAACGTAAGTGACTGTATCTGGTGTCTTTAGATCATCATGTAATGTAAGTTTATATTCGTGCCTTAATTCAGGAATTTGTTACAGGTAAGATATATTTCAATCTACAGTACATTCAGATCCATGTCATCACATGATTCCAGCAACTTATATACCAAGTAAGTTCGTTACGATTACGTCTAATTTATATCAGCTACTGTATAACACGAAATGTTCGTGGATACTTTCTTTAGTGTTTTGAAGCCATTTAGATCTTTATTATTATTATTGGTGTTATAATATTATCATTGAAACGCCTTAATACGCGTCATCATTACCGGAATAGGTCTCAGTTCGTCAATATGCTAAGTAATTTACGTCAAAGCCACAAAATAAATTTACGCTTAACAGTCGCAGAATAATAACATCTATTTTTTTATAATAGACTGCGGCGTTCAGGTGTTTGATGATGGTGATGTAATACGAGTTAACTCCCTTCCACTGATGGGGAAACTTATTGCTGAACAGGAAATAGTGTGAATTGCGCATGCTTGCCTTGAATGGACTTACATTGCGTCGCTGTACTACGTACCAATGTATCTGTGTTGTCTTGGACACGGGATAGCTGGTCTTTGTAGTGTTTGGACTTACCAAACTTATTATCATATATGTATTTTTGTATTTTTCCTCCATAGCGTCTATTAGAATCACCTATCATTTTGCCATAATTAACAGGTAAGGGGGGAAATCCCAGACGAGCTTTTGTCTTCATGGGAAAAACTTTAATAGCCGCATCAGGGAAAAATCCCCAAAACAAACAAATTCCATGTTTGTATTTCAGAGGGAACATTTCTATTTTTGAACAAAAGGTAATTTTCCGTTTTTATAATTAAATGACTCGTTTGCTCTCTTGGATTACGTCAGCCATCAGTGCGCACATCCCATCCTTACCAGCATTATAGAGGAGAGGCCCTGAGGGTCTGTATGATCACTCACGTTTCGGGTGGGTTTTTTTTGCACCTCAGCCTCAGGAAAGCTACACTGCTCCTTTTCAACAATCGATTTTAATTGTTACGTTATATAAAGGGAACAATAAACCAAAAGATGATCCGAATAGTTACAGAGGTACACGTTTATTACCAGTTATTTTTTTTAAGTTTTTGAAATGTTAATAGCAGAAAGAATACTTCAATTCTTGAATCAGATACATTTCCATGTAGGCAACAAGCAGCCTATCAGAAAGGTTTATGTATTTTATGTACATCATTTAATTTACATGAATGTATAAGATATAACTTAGAAAATGATGATAATGTGTATGTTGGATTTTTAGATAGCAATAAAGCCTTTGATACGGTATGGCACGCAGGCCTGCTATACAAACTTTATGAAATTGGCTTGAACTCCAAAGTATGGAAATTAATGAAAGGAATATATACTGTTGTCAAAAGTTGCATTATTTTTAATGGATTACAATCAAGATGGGTACTCATGGAGAGGGGTATTTTACAAGGGAGCGCATTATCTGCGAAAATGTATTTAGTTTTTATTAATAGGCTGCTGAAAATATTGAACAGAGTGGCAAGGGATCAATTATCATCGACATTAGAGTTAATATACCCACTCAAGTTGATGATCTATGTCCCTTAAGCAATAAATATACTGATTTGGAATATATGCTACGGATGTGTGAAGATTATAGTAAAATAGGGCGATTTTTGTAATCTACCACCAAAAGTATGATTATGTATTTTAATAAGAACAACAAAAGTGAAATGTGCTTCTAGTTTTTATTTATATGATAATAGTATACCGGAAGTTGAAGATATTGTTCACGTTGGTATTATGTTAAATAATAAATTCCAAACATATGAACGTACAATGCGTGCTTGTAGCAAATTAAAAAGTGGTACAATGAGTTTAATTAAGAGTGGTGCACATCCTTGTGCGTTTAATCTAGTTACTGCCGGAAAACTTTTCAAACAAGTTGTATATACGTCAGCACTGTATGGTTGTGAACTATGGATTTTTATCAAAGAAAGAGTAACTTATGATGGAAAGAGCGCAAAGATTTATTTTAAAATCAATTCAAGGTTTTAACAACAGAACACGTACTGGCGTGTGCTGTGGATTGATTGGATGGACACCATAGAAAGTTATATGGATACAAGAAAATTGTTGTTTTTTGGAAGGTTGTGTTATATAGATAAAAATACATTGTCATCACGTGTATTTTTAAGAAGACTGTACACATCAATGCTGAACAGATCTGGTGACCATTGTGGACTTTTAAAGTGAGATTTTGAGAATTTTCAAAAAGTACAATCTTTATAATATGTTGAAAAAGTATATTCGAACGAGTGTATTCCCATTAAAAAGGCATTGGAAAATAATTGTGAATAAATCTGTGTTGTTGAAAGAGGAACATGAATGGAAAGAACGAATGTGAAATGATTGTGATTTTAGCAGATTTGCAATGGTTCATAATATATTGCAACCACATATACTATGGAAACTGGCAATGAAATTCCCGGAGTTTAAAGATTCGATTTAATATTCGTACTGGTAAAAAAAACAAAAATCTATGTCATAGATACTCATATTGTATTAAAGTGTAGTTATAGTGAACACCTTGGGACAAGTTGTGGTGCTCTATCGCAAACATTAGTGTGGTATACTGCTGAGTGCGTATACAAATAACTGAGGGATTAAATGTACTAGGTATGAATGAATTTCGATTGGCAGTAGCAGCTGTTGTAGAAATGCACAAATTATACTACCGGTAGTGTGTAGATATAATCTCACAGTCCCACCCTAATAAAGAATAATATGAATAAAAATATAATATAAATGTTTAATATGATATGTATATATTACCTCATCATATATACACTTATTAATGATATCAATTGAATGCATGACTTCAATGTAATTAAGTGTGTACATGTCATGTATATTATTTGGTGCTTATGTGTATTTAATATGATTTTTGGAATGTAATTATATGCGCATTATACTGTTTAAATCAGAGACGTATATGTAATATATACGTCTCTGTTTAAATGTAATCTTGAAATTGGAGGAAAGTGAAGAGAATAATAATCTTTTCCGTCCTGAGCATGCCAGTGGCAGCAGAATTAGAGTTTTGATGGGGGTATATTTTAGGTGTTTGATTGTTATCAACTTAGGGTCACCAGGGGCGGGTCCAGGTGAGGGCGTAATGGGCGTACGCCCCCCCCCCCTTTTCAAAAAAAAAAGGGGGGGGGGGGGCACTCGCTCCAAGTCAGGAACCGTTACATTAGTGCATTTCACAATTATTTTATGTTTTTCAGCAAAAAAAAGGTCACAATGCATCATATGAACCATATATATAGCTAGTGTTCGATTAACATGAAAAAACAAACTTTTAAAAAAAAGGAGATATTTTTCATAAATTATTATTTGAAATTGGAAACAAATTTCAAAATCAGTTTTGAAATGCTATGTTCAGATATTTAAATACAAGAAAAATAAATGAATAAAAAAGTGAGTGATCGGACGGGAAATTAATGTACGAAGATTTCGACTAGGAATAAAATAATAATTATGAAATAAAGTTTCTTCAGAAAATCTGTCAAACTTTTGTGAAATTAAAAATAACTACAACATGCTTGTGTAAATCATTACGTTGTTATGAACAGTGAAATATACAGGTCAAGTGATAGTTTCAGGCCTAGGTCTGCAGGCCTTCCTATTTAAAAAGGAGCGGGACACTGCGAAATAGAGCCGGGTCACATTAATCAGTACGCTGAACTATATTGCTAAGAAATTTATTGCTACATTTAAGCATCTATCTTATTTCGATATGTTGACATATGTAAATAGTATTATACATTGATTACTTTCAGAGATTTTAAAGCAATATGATGCAAATAAAAGACATAACTAAATATACCGGAAGTGCATATAACACTACGCGCCAACATGCAAGATGGCGGGAGAAATGCACGTTTGATTACAACCAAAATTAGAAGTTGCTGAAACAACAGATGCTTATTGGACTCTGAATTCCATTAACCTTTAATCAAAGATATATAGTGTAGAAACCATTGGGAACCCATTTTCCAGGTATAAATTATTGAATACTAAAGAAATTAAGTAATATTATCGCATTGTTTTCTTTCGTAGTCGCACAGCAAAAATGAGGGAAAACTATTTTCGGTTTGGGAGATTGCAGCAGATTGGTTGTCAAATGGTAAAACGGTAAAACACAAAGTTGTACCTCATTGCATGTGCATGGCATGATATTAAAGTAGCTGTCTGTAATTTCAGTACGTTACAGAGATATCGGACAATATTTGAAGGGCTATACCAACGTTTAACATGTCAAGCATAACATACCCTTCTCTAACATCGGTGTGTTAACATCTAACATTGTTGGTATAAGACACAATCATTCGTCTGGGTACCAATTACTGTTTATAAAAAGTAACAATTTTATTTCAGAAATTTATAATAAAATGAAGTTAAAAAAAGAAAAGTTTTAAGCAAAAGGGAAAAGGAAAGGCTCCCCTTCATTCTGTCAGTGTTATTGTATAAATAGCATGGTCTACGTTTGTGTACACAAAAAGATCATTTCATAATAAAATAAAAAGAGCAAGCTGAAGAAGTATTCCTTTTATCTACTTATATATTCAGTAGCAGGAAGTACAGTTAATATCACATCAAACACTTTAAATGCAGCTTTTCCTGGTATCACAAATGCAAAGAATATATACTTTAATTTCTTTTAGATCTATCGGGATGAGCAAATCTTCACCTCGACGTGACGCATTGCTTAGCATGAATAAATCTTCACCACGGAGAGAACATCTGTCAGTAGTGAAGAAAAGTTCTCCTCGGCGAGATGTCACACCTCCCATCCGATCCTCTCCTCGAAGGGAATTGTTGTCCAACACCAAACGAACATCACCCAAGAAAGACCAGATGATTACTTCGTATAGATCCTCGCCTAGGGCAGAGTCAAAAGTACCAAAGACGTCGGAAGGTAGAATGTCGAGGTCTGATGTCGGAGCATCACCAAAATCAGAGGTTAAAGCTTCTCCATTATCGTTTCAGTCATCTCTAATGAGTTCCACAAAGTCTTTGTTACCAAGCACACCTAAGTCTGTGACTCCTTCCCCATGCAGTTCGACATGTAGCTCTCCTGAGAGACCCAGTCCCAAGGCACCCAAGCCTGTGTCTAGGTAGGTCTGGGCCAACTATTGCCAAACTAATGTTGATATTTAAATTTATCGTTCTGTATCCTTTTTGATATTTCCTTATTAAATTAGATGAATGTTAAATGTGAATTTCCAGTAGCTCGATTCTCAACATTCCTGTGATGTGAAATACAGTTATTATTTCATTTATGAGAGCATTTGTATTTTAGTGCTATTGTTTAATCAAACAAAAAAATTAATGTCAGCTAAGATAAAAAAGTGAAAGAATTAAAGCTGACAGAATTAACCAAAAGTTTTGAATTTTCTGTTAAATAATTGTTAAATAAAGATGTACAGGTAACTTGTTTCTGGAAGGTAAAGTCTGCATTTATACCAGTTTTGATGATAAACTTTTGATTTAATACTTAAAGTAGATCATATTGAGATTTTTGAAGACCTAAGAAAATATGAATAGTAATGTTGTTAAAATGGGCTTCAATTAATATGTGTTTTTCTTTTACGAAACTAACTTTGAATACATGTCACTAGGACGGAGTTGGCGCTTAGCACGGTGCCTGCAACAGATAAGTCAAAGAAATCTACGTCCAACAAAGGAGCTAACAAATATGCAAAGCGTGGAAAATTCAACATCGGATCAGAAGTTCTGGCTAGGTGGAGTGACGGTCTTTTCTATCTTGGAAATGTATTGAAAGTGAGTGTTTCAAAACATATCTGCTGGCTGTAACAAGGGGTGTTTCAATGCACAATGGTTGCAATTTTAACGTTATGCATGCATTTGACCGTTGCACATCAAGTTCTCACAAATCATGATAACCTCTTCTCCCCTTTCCAATTAGACTCGCCCTCATTAGAGACTAGCTTTTATCGTTCCCTATGATCGACACCCTGATCAACGAACGAACTCTGCCCTGCAAGTAGATTTACCTGTGATCTACCTAGACCTAGTCTAACATTATCGTAGTGTACATGGGAGTTGATGACCTTACGAGAGCTACATTCAGTAAAAGAATTTGCAGTTTTGTTATTTTAAAAGTGATTGAAATGAAACTATAACAAAAGATAAAACAAGGCAAGGGTAGAGCCAACGCCGTGGTTTCAACCTAGCTTTACAATGATTATTAAAATCTGTTATTATAAGACCAGTATATCTACCAGCTGAATGAAACTCTGCACGACAATCTACACAATTTCTGCCATTGTTAATGATGTCATTTATACATATATATATATATGTAGAACAATCGGTCGACACTTCTAATAAACTACAAGAATAACTTATTGCTCCTTCGCCTGTTGTGATTGAATCTATTTTATGATATAACAAAAGATTTAGCATTTTTTTATTTGGTCATTATAATACACAGTTAAACACTATTATAATTTATGTTCATACATTTAACGTTTAGTTTATCGTAACTGATTATTGATCGATCATCGGTTGGTTATGATGAACCGTTGATCGATCATGAAATTTCTACCGATTCCCACCCCTAAATGCAGGTGCCTCCACCCCCCTGTAAGATGACCTATGGAATAGTCCTAAGTGCCTGTGTAATGTTTGTTTCATCTTGTGTTATGTTGTTAAATATATATGTAATAATTTTATTAATATATAATGTAATATTTATTTCTGAAGTTTTGATATATTTTAAATTTGTTGTCTCGTTTTGTATTCTTTATACGAAATTTTGATTTTGATAGGTTGAAGAGAAAGAAGGGAAATGTTTTGTACAATTCGAGGACAACTCTGAATACTGGGTGTTATACAAAGATCTTCAGAAAGGTAAGAATTTTCTGATCCACCGATGCATCTATATGTGATGTTGACCATTCTCCAGATAGTGCCACAGTGTGACATTTTCTGGAGCATGTGTCATATACTCCATCAAAAAATAAAGTTTAAACATGGAAATGGCATTTGGTTTTAGGTCTCTCCAAAATTCTTTTATTATTGATGTTAGCACGCTGAAGCATCTCCAGAGTTCCGAAAATCAGAGTTCTATTCACTCACTGTTACCCAGCTTTAAATATACGCACACATCCTAGCATAGCTTGGTATTTGTTAGTATAAGCTGTAACAGAAAAATGTCCGGATCAAAGTTCCTTAATAAGGGCACTTTATTACCCTCATCCTGCGCCCTTGTTTAGGCAAATACGGTATATGAAATAAACAAAGGCAATAATTCTTTAATATTAATTATTTACTTGACATGTTGCCCACAGGAGCCAAAGAAGGGGAGATAAACTGCTGCGTTTGTCAGAGTGATGTGTCAGAGGCCCCAAATGAAATTGTGCTATGTGACAATTGTGGTATTGGTAAGTTTGGTATATTGTGGTACAAGTAAGTTTGGTATATATACACATAATAAATATTACAATTTTGGAACATCAGCCAAATAAACCTACCACTAAGGCACTTGAAGGTTTTGTATAAAGCATAAAACATAACAATGAGATGCTACATAGATATCATTTAGGTTATGATATTTTTAGCAAGATTACCTCCCTTGAACTGTAATAATCTTCATAGAGACATTTTTTTATCAATATCTTTGAAAAACTTTCATGTATTTGTATATTTTCCCTTGATCCATACAAAGTAAAATGTTCTATTCAGATAGTGGGCAGTAAATTTGAGAATCTGAAGATAGTTTTGAATTAGGTGACACGTCTAAATTAAATTTAATACTGGCATTGAATTGATAAAAAGGAATCTTCAGGATTAAATCTATTTACGTGTAATACAAATTCTAGCGAATAAAGTATGTGTTGATAAAACATCATATAAGCAACTGCTGTGCAGGTGTGATTTATTCATGTTAATACAGTTAGTTTCCGATGAGGAATATTTGTTGGCTACTTATGTATTTGTCTTGCAGGGTACCACCAGGAATGTCATAACCCTACCATTGATGATGAGTATGTGATTGAGGAGGAGGTGGAATGGTGCTGCAGACTCTGTATATTTGCTGCCACAGTCAAGGTATTGAAATTTAAACTTTCAAATAATTTTGCTGATTAACAATTTCAGTTTATACTCATTTCTTACAGAGAAAAGGATACAATATTCCATAATTATACTTAATTTTGGTTCCAATAAAATTTCACCTCATTACCATATCTTGCAAGGCATCACACCCAAAAAGACATCTTTCTTATTTACTTCAGCTTTCCAAGTAACTTGCTGGTTTTAAGTTACAAATTTTCATTAATGAAAAATAAAATTTCAAGTCTGTCTATCCATGTTCACTTGTACTGTCTTAGTCCTAAAGACCTATTGTCTGTGGTGTGTTGATTATAAATCATAAGACTAGTAATATTCATTTACATGCAGTAGGAAGATCTATCATTTACTGGTAGGTATAATAGCAAGTTTTTACTGGTATTCTTTACAATAATTTCAGAAGATATTGAGCAAAAAAGGTATATGTTGTGATGACGCTTGCCTGACTATATTAATGCAGATTTATATCAGAATGGCTGCTAAATTTAAATAGCCCTTAATTCTGATAATAACATATAAAGGAAAAGGAACCTAGTTATGCTCCAGTAACATTTGTTAAACAGTCAGTAAGGGTATACATTTCAATTTCAGAAAGGAGGTGCCTTAAAGATTGGGGATGATGGTAAGTATCATTCAGCTATTATTTACCAGAGATGTTGAAACCAGGTTCAATTACGTTTTGACGGTGAATTATCTGAAATACACTGTATGTATAGAAATTATTGAATAAAAACTTTTTTACCTGAAAATTTCCATAGTAGATGGAATGTATGTTTTATAGAAATCAGACCTGATGGAATGTGTGTTGACTTGGCCTTGCATATGAAACTTCAAGGTTAAGTCTGTTGAGTTAATTGTGGTTGATACATTTTAACACTGCTTTTGTTTGTAGCAAAAGCCCTGCAGAAGATGAAACAGACATTTCCTTATGATGTAAGTATGGAGTCAACGCCGATGTAATCAGTTTCTTCTTTATTTCATTCATGGTGTCATTTAAGCAAGTGTCAGATTCTTATTTCGTTCATTCATGGATTGACGTCAATGAAAGCGGTGTCCGCTTCTTATTTCATTGTTTGTTGAATGTAGGTTATTTTATAACGTACAACATGTTCTGTTTGTGTTAGTTTAGTTATTCAAGAAATTTGTTATCTAAGAGCTAGAAGTAAAGCAATACATGTTTTGTTTTTTAACTGTAGTCTTTGTTTGCAGATGTCGTACATTGACCAATGTTGGTGCCCTAACGTTTGTTTAATGTGAGAATATCTTATACTGTTAATGTAAACTCGTAAAGTTTGAACCTAATCAATGATTGGAAAACGACTTTATAGGAATTTTAATGAAAATGTGCCATCTCAACATCTTTTTGTCAAATGAGAATTTTCTTTTGATTTTTTTACAGCTAAACAAATTGACCTGGGATGCCCAAAGAAAAACCAACGTGGAGCAGTGTTACTGTTACTGTGGGGGTCCGGGGGAGTGAGTACATACAGTATTCTTCAGTATTACTGTTACTGTGGGGGTCTGGGGGAGTGAGTACATACAGTATTCTTCAGTGTTACTGTTACTGTGGGGGTCCGGGGGAGTGAGTACATACAGTATTCTTCAGTGTTACCGTTACTGTGGGGGTCAGGGGGAGTGAGTACATACAGTATTCTCCAGTGTTACCGTTACTGTGGGGGTCCGGGAGAGTGAGTACATACAGTATTCTCAAGTGTTACCGTTACTGTGGGGGTCCGGGGGAGTGAGTACATACAGTATTCTTCAGTGTTACCGTTACTGTGGGGGTCAGGGGGAGTGAGTACATACAGTATTCTCCAGTGTTTCTGTTACTGTGGGGGTCTGGGGGAGTGAGTACATACAGTATTCTTCAGTGTTACCGTTACTGTGGGGGTCCGGGGGAGTGAGTACATACAATATTCTCCAGTGTTACTGTTACTGTGGGGGTCCAGGGGAGTGAGTATATACAGTATTCTCCAGTGTTACTGTTACTGTGGGGGTCGGGGGGAGTGAGTACATACAGTATGCTCCAGTGTTACTGTTACTGTGGGGGTCCAGGGGAGTGAGTATATACAGTATTCTCCAGTGTTACTGTTACTGTGGGGGTCGGGGGGAGTGAGTACATACAGTATTCTCCAGTGTTACTGTTACTGTGGGGGTCTGGGAGAGTGAGTACATACAGTATTCTCCAGTGTTACTGTTACTGTGGGGGTCCAGGGGAGAGAGTACATACAGTATTCTCCAGTGTTACTGTTACTGTGGGGGTCCAGGGGAGTGAGTATATACAGTATTCTCCAGTGTTACTGTTACTGTGGGGGTCGGGGGGAGTGAGTACATACAGTATGCTCCAGTGTTACTGTTACTGTGGGGGTCCGGGAGAGTGAGTAAATACAGTATTCTCCAGTGTTTCTGTTACTGTGGGGGTCTGGGGGAGTGAGTACATACAGTATTCTCCAGTGTTTCTGTTACTGTGGGGGTCTGGGGGAGTGAGTACATACAGTATTCTCCAGTGTTTCTGTTACTGTGGGGGTCCGGGGGAGTGAGTACATACAGTATTCTCCAGTGTTCACCAGTTTCCCTGTTCAGTGTTTTATGAAATTTTGGATGAATTGTGCTGAAAAGTAAGTTTTCAAATTTATAGATGTACCACTTTTAAAGTTGTATGTTACTTGTGTGAAATTGTCAATCCACAAACTTGTATCTAGAGTAAAAAAAGTGTAAAATGTATTAACACTTGACTACTTTACTTCAGCTGGTACCTAAAGATGCTACAGTGTTGTAGATGTAAGCAGTGGTTCCATGAAGGTATGTGGATATGTTAGTTTCATGATCTATGAGCTATATCAATATTATTAAAATGTTTCTTTGAAAAATTTGTTGGCATATACTTGTATTAAACCACTGCAGGATGATCATTTGTGATAATTTGTTGCTGAAAGATGAATGTTGCTATTCTATTTCGTAATTTGTAAAGAATAACTATAAAAGAAACTTCCATCCATTGAAACTATGTTTCAGACGGAGGTATTTCAATATTCAATTTCTTCTATATGTTAATGTACAATTTTATTTTCTGAAAAAATTATAAGCTTTGCTTGGCTGACTTCAATAGAAACAACAGACTAAACCATGGAATTACCAATCTATAATGAGCTGAAAGCTCCTTTTCCAAGTAATACATTTGATAAACGATCCATTAGGGAAATCAAAACAATCTGTTACTTGGTGAACAGTGTATTGCTGAAGAGTCATTTTGCCTATAACTTGGTGTAATACCTGTATGTTGCAGCCTGTATTCAGTGTCTAGAACATCCCCTGCTGAACGGAGACCGGTTTTACCTGTTTGTCTGTTCACACTGTAACAGCGGGCCAGAGTACATCAAGCGACTTGATCTTAAATGGTAGGTCTCATTGCTGTTGATCTCGAATGGTAGGTCTGATTTATGGTTCTCAAGAGTAGTGATCAACTATATACCTTATAAAATTACTTTGTGTAATTTTGGATTTGCCATAATATTTCTGGAAGAAATGCTTCCGTAGAATTTGGTAGGAAATGGAATCCTATTCTCTTTATAATCTGTAATTTTGTGGTACTCAAGGCAAACATTCAATTTATAGCAGTTGTTTCCATATTTTAATAACTTGCGACTTGTAGGGTGGACATAGCCCACCTGGTCCTGTTCAACCTCACACTCTCTGGCATCAAAAAGTTCTATGACTTTGATGTGGTTTTGGCCTACATGACCGCCAACTGGAACAAACTACAGCTCAGCAGCCAGGTAGAGTATGTTTACACAACATACAACCTTCCCAACAAATCAGTAGTTCATTGTATGTGATCACAGTCCATAAAAAATATCTGATGTTTTTGAGAAAATTCAGTCCATGGATGTCATCCGAATACAAAAAAAAAGAAAGACTTTGTGACGGTAATGATTTTAGGTATTTTCATTGCATAGTCTCACAATTTACGATTTTGAATTCAGTTGTCTTACAAAACTTTGGTGTTATGTAATTTCATGTTATTTCAATGTAATTGCAAAGTGGATGCCATGTTGACTCAGTTCAAGATTTTTCCTCATAATTCTGACTTGCATATCCAATCAAGGCTAGAAAAAAGAGTAGCCCAATAGTCTGAGACTAGTGAAATCTCCAGATGGACTAGTGGTTCTAAAATCCACTAGTACAATGGACAAGTCATAATTTGATATTACTTATCTTGTTGAATAATATTTGGTTTATAGAACTTGCACATGGACTAGTGAAGTTGGAAACTTCTAGCCCAACTGATCTTGACTAGTGGTTCTAGACCTGTAAATATAGCCTAGTGTGAAAAATGTTTCTGTTTAATACGACAAATAGCATGAACAAAATACAATACAATGTATCTCAATATGATAACAATCTTTAATTTGTAGCTTCAACATAAGATATAAAGCACAGGGATATACAAATTTTAAATTTAGAGTACTCGCCTGCAGACAGATCTTGAAAAGTTCTACTAGTCTGGCCTATTTTCATAGTAAACAATGAACATTTTACCATGCTCTGACATAGCTGCAGACGTCGAGCTAGTGGAGTTGTGCCCCCTGATTGCAGCAAATTTTATTGTATATTATACTTACAGATTGCTGAAACAACTGAAGAGGAGAGACAGAAGAAACTATATGATATATTGAGGGGTCATAAAACTAGGTTTGTAATGAACAGTTTTACAAGTAATGGTGTGAGCTGATTTTTCTGTTAATATAAATTAGGCATGGAGACATCCACTCATAGGAAATATATGCTTATTATGCATAATTCATGTTCTCCACTATGTAAAAATGAGAATGAAAGATTGAATGATTGGTTGGAAAGCATGAGATAGGAAATGAAAGAGAAGAATGAATGACATAAAAGGAAAAAATAGAAATGTAAAAATGAATCCTCACATTTGTGTTTAATTAGGCTTTGAAATAATACGAAATTTTTTCATCTTTTATCGATATTCAGCGATATTTATCATGAAAAAAAAACTTTATTGTATTTGTTTGTTGTATCCAATGTTGAAATTCTTGTGTAAAGTTGAGATATATCCATGTCAGAGCTGATTACAGTAATTGTTTGTATTCCGCTTGTTAAACATCACATGTATTCCGTTTTTGTGTTCACCGGAAAATCATGGCAAATGTTGTCTGCTTCACTTTGAAAGAGGAAAAACTTTTTTTATGCTTTGACACCAAATTCTTCTCATTTAATCATGGATTTATGGAAAGGAACATTTATTGGACCCTGCTGAACATTCAAATGTATGTAATATTCATATTGGACAGAAACTTGTTGACACTGTCTGCCATCTTGCTCTCCGTGTTGTCGTCTACACACGTGCATGTGTGCTTTGCATAATTGAGTCGACCAATCAAAACAACTTGTTCTAGAGCAGCGTGCACAAACTAATGTACTTTTGCTTGTGTTTGATATCCTACAATACTCCGATCGTATACACTTGGACTTTAATCGCTGTAAGTGTGCATCTTTTAAACTCTTATCATATATAACAAATACTGTATTGGTTCTCATAATAGGCCAGGTGTTTAATTAGAACACAACTACTAACCGATGAAGACCTGTCGGTCTCTGTTACTACAGGTGTAAATTTACTAAATTGACAGAATTTAACTCAAAGGTGCCTCAAATCATGTGGTTCCGAGTCATTTAGTCAACTTATTTTCACCCTCTTTGGCGTGACAACTTGGAATAAGCATTCTAACACCAAGGTTAAGAAAATGTTTATGACAAAATTATCTTAAAATTTTAGATTCACATTCAGCCGTGAAGTAAAGAAGAAACACACCTACTGGGGTCTGAGGATGAGGGCCCCGCCCCCAGGTCCCACAATCATACTCCCTGTTGATGGACAAATCAATGAAGAGGTCATGAACTCTCTGCAGGCCAAAGGTCACAAAACCAAGTGCTTTGTTCCTATTCAGTGGTTAGTATCCATGTAAATGAATTTGTTTACATGTGCTCTTCTGTTAATTTCTAACATGATGAGCTGGATACTAGATGTAATTCATGCTGTAGCTTGTTAAAATCTTTGTGTCAACTAATGGAATTGATGTTTTTGCCAAGAATAACTCAAAAATAGAACATATTATCTTGTAACAAAGTCTTACCAATCTGTGTGTAATATAAAAAAAAAAAGTTTTATTTGAGCTTACTTATTTAGTCATGTACCTAATTTACCAAAGATTAACATTAAGAAGTGATTTACTTTACATCATGTATAGAAATAATCAGATGGTGGGGTCATAAACTCATTCACAGGGTTGAGAAATCATTGGTGGCATGTTATAAAAAAATGTTCAGCTTATTCTGTGGACACTGGTAAAAGGGTCATGTCCGATTCTAAATTCCCCTGGAAATATATACAGTGATCAACCCTATATTATATGGACCTGCTTTAAGCATACTGGCTTTGCTCAATTTGTTGTGTGTCAGTTTTAAACAGAATATCCCAGTCACAGGACAGGACTTTCCAGTCTAAATGATTTAATGAAAATAGCTAACAAGTTTTGTTCCATTTTTAAATGTATAAGAATACCAATTGAGCAATGGCCTGATCTGTACGGTTTCTTTGCAGAACTATAAATCGAGCATGGATCAAAGATGAATGTAATCTGATCTATCCTAACTGTAGGAATAATAATAAACATATGTATGCAAAATACAAACTAGAAAGATGTAATTCTAGATTAAAACGTTTGATTTACTTTGATGAGATCTTAGAAGGTTAAGTAAAGTCAAAACAGTTGTGCATTTCAGGTTTTCCTTCCTGTTCCTCTTTTTATGCCCCCAGCCATTTTGTATTATTCCGTCCCATCCTGATTGAGTGTCATTGCAAAATCAACTTCAAGCCCAAAACAATCTCAGTTAATCCGTATTTTAGGGTTCCAAGGTCTGAGCCTAGGTTAAGTTACATTATATAGAAATGTTTAGACTTCACTTAGACTTGCTTTCCTACAGACCATATCAGTGTTTGGGAGAAAACCTGAAATGCTACCGACTTACCTTTGTCTGGCCCTATCATAAACAACATAGCAGTGCATTGTCTGTCATTAAACCCGCAGATTCATTAAATAATTTAACATGCGACTGGGATAAGCAGTGATAAATCTACATACGAGTCCCGAGTCCTGTACTCGTAGAATATTAATAAGACTCGTAGGATTTTAGAAATACTTAACTTTAACATTGCAGGACCTATTGTTTTATTATTAGTAATACAGTTGAAAAAAGACCCATGAAAATAACTTGTAGATTGATCACTGGATAAGTATAACTTTTCGTTAATTGAATGTGTGTGGTTTATTTGTAGCTCTCTAGGCCAGAAGACGGCTCTAGTGCTACCAAGGTATCCACTGTTCTAACCATGTTAACTGTTCACTCACACCTCCCATAGACTCTGTTGGCGCTAGGCTCCAATTCCCTTGAGCAATATTGAAAATCAACAATTAAGCTTTTATAGAAATTCTTCATTAATTCTTTTTTTGTTTTTAAGCATATAATAACCAGCTTAACATGACTTTAAGCCAGCGCAAACATGGTCAGAATTTGGTTTGTTGTTGAATTCTTTATTCTATTAATAAGACAGTTTGTGTTTGAGTTTATCCAGATAATATTTAATATGTTGCATTCCTACCATCCTTTCACCTTTTTTTTTCTTGGAAACCACAAGGGCATTGCGTGTTGTAACAGGAAATGTGTCTTATGCAGAACTTGTAAGATGGTTAAGTATCTTATGCAGAACTTGTAAGATGGTTAAGTATCTTATGCAGAACTTGTAAGATGGTTAAGTATCTTATGCAGAACTTGTAAGATGGTTAAGTATCTTATGCAGAACTTGTAAGATGGTTAAGTATCTTATGCAGAACTTGTAAGATGGTTAAGTATCTTATGCAGAACTTGTAAGATGGTTAAGTATCTTATGCAGAACTTGTAAGATGGTTAAGTATCTTATGCAGAACTTGTAAGATGGTTAAGTATCTTATGCAGAACTTGTAAGATGGTTAAGTATCTTATGCAGAACTTGTAAGATGGTTAAGTATCTTATGCAGAATTTGTAAGATGGTTAAGTTTCTTATGCAGAACTTGTAAGATGGTTAAGTATCTTAGGCAGAACTTGTAAGATGGTTAAGTATCTTATGCAGAACTTGTAAGATGGTTAAGTATCTTATGCAGAATTTGTAAGATGGTTAAGTATCTTATGCAGAACTTGTAAGGTGGTTAAGTATCTTAGGCAGAACTTGTAAGATGGTTAAGCTATCTCTTGCTGATGGAGATTTTTTGTTGAATAAGTGTAAATGATTAATTTCAATATTTGTTATAAGGGAAATGGATGGTATCAGAAAGGCTTTAAAGCACATTTCTGTATTTAACCTAGCTGAATTTTTCGTTTGAAATCTTGAGAAGTTGGTTCAGTGTGTTTTTGCCCTGGGCCAGAATAATAATCTGACCTTTAGGGGTTATGAAAGAATATTATACCTTATTTATCCAGCAATAATACAATGCCTGATAATAAGCATACCCATGTGAAACAGCTCAATGGAAATAAAAAAAAATGTCATTGTGATTTTTCAACTTGAAGGAGGTGAAAATTCCACAATATATATCCTGGAGAGAGAGTTCTGGAATTTATATTTGATACATATGCCAATGTAACCATTTTTGTTACCTGAATTAGTGTGAATGGAAGTATATGCATACAGAAATGGCAAAAACAAGGGTTGATTTTGTTTTTAATTTTGTTTTTCCCTTATTGAAGTTAGTGTTTTGTTGATTTGATTTTAGATGTACATGGTTTAATTTCTTTGGGGAAACCCAGCGTTTTAAAGTACTGTCTAGACACATTCATTGAAGATAAATATACCGTTACCTTCTCAGGGGTTTCAATATTTAACAGGAAGATTGTTGAATATAGCAGAGTTTTAAATCTTCTTACAGACTACTGCCTTAAATATGAAATTTCAAAGTTTATTAGAACTGCTGTAAAATCACTAGCCCTGGGTGTCAGACTAGTCAATTTGATACCCCTGCTGTTTAGAGCTTGCAAAAAATGTTATTAAGTGTGTAGTTACATAAATATCTTTGTGGGTGTAACAGATATGTACAAAAAAACACACTTATTCTACTGTTGCTTCATCTGCAGCTGTCCAGAAAATATTTTGCTTTGGATGCAGGGTATGGGGGTTTTCATTGGTCAGACTACAGGTTATATCTACACAGCACTTTTGTTTTCTTATAGAATGACAGATATCAGTTTCTCAAATTAAAAGAAATCTGTATCTCGCTTGCAAGAAATGTAATAATATATTTAGTATTTTATCTATCTTTATCCAAACAAGTTGTTTAATGTTGACCATTTGGTCAGTGTTTATTTTAATTAATTGTGTTAGTTGTCAGTACAATATCTTACTTGGAATTCCTGGTTTTAAGTACCTGTATGTAAAACAGAAAATACTGCTAAGTATACTTATCTGTGATTGAGAGAATGTGAGTGTCAGCGTTACAGTTTACATATGTTTATAATACAACAGCTTGCTTGTAGTTCTGGTTTCCACAGATTTATGTGTATTTGTGTTAAAATGTTATTATAATTACATCCCAGTACAGATTGGTGTTATGTTAACTGTTAGATGTCAATATGGCATAGAGAATTAATCTGTTGTACATAGAGTCCTTGACCTTTCAGCCATATTTCTCAAATTCAAGATTTTTATTAACATTCCCCCAACCAAAGTGTCGAGCAAGAGTTCAGGTGTATATGATACATTTATACAAACATTCATGATGAATATATTACTGTACATATTACAAAATAATAAGCAAACTTATACAGTACATATATACAGCTTATTGTCATTGCAGATTACATGTTTCCATTGGTCGTGTCTTTCAATCATTCATGTATTATTTATGTAAACACATCATTCTATAAAACCAGATTTTGGTATGTGATTGTTTTACCTGGTATAATTGTGTACCTAATTAAGCCATTGTCACACCTGTGGTATTGTTTTACCTGGACGACCAGGTGTGTAGGCTAGTATAATTACCCTTTGACACCTGATCATTACCTGTCTCAGGTGACAATTAGAATAAAACAACAACTACTCGTGTAATTAATGGTTGAGTCCAGTGTCACTTTTCCACTATGAAGGTTTGTGAGATTATCATTAGGTGTCTTGATCATCAGCTGAATAAGTTGGATTTTGAAGTGTAGCAAATCTTAATTGTGGCCTTTGATAAGATCTAACCATGGGTCGTCCAAGGGGTCGTCCAAGGAAAATACATTGGTAGGCAGTCATCGCTTTTCTTTATATGTAATACTGAAACTTACACAAATATTTCAATTCTTAACCCTTTCACCCCTATGTAACTTAAGTAAACTCTACTATGCAGTGATCTGGAAAAGTCCGTTATGATTTACAGAGTGGAAAGGGTTGATTAATAATTAGATATATATATTTCACACATAATAGATAATAGCTATAATGTACAACATTTATACAGTTTTTGTACAATTTACTAAATTGTTGCAAGTATAGCACAGGTATATGATAATCTTTCTAGAGTGACACAAGGATAGAATATATTTTGATATAAAGAGGCATAAATATCTACACTCTTAGAACTTGCATGCACATAGTTATTTGTGTGAACACAGCATAGATACCAAGAGCAGTTTTGAAATGGTATATTTTAATCTTCCAAGCATAGCATACAGAAGAAAGCTATGCTTTTTATTCCGATAAAAAAATCACTGGTCATTTATTTAGTATTCAAAATGAGTAATTTATTTTGGCAGCTCCTAATACGAATTATAGGTAATAGCAAAGAGGCATTTAAAATTGGTGAGGATGTGAAATGTTTAACATTTGTATACTAGTTTGTATATAGTGGGTCCAGCGAAACTACTTATGGCTGATAGAGGTCACAAAAACTGTCCCATACACCATATATATGTTTCTGAAGAAAAATATGATTGTAATGACTTAAATGCAAGCATTAACCTATTTTGTATTTAACAGTATTTAAAGTGTATGATTGTGCTATATTGGAAACTCCCATACAAAAACTGGAACATTATCAGTATTTGTTTTCTGGTATCTTTCCTATTATTTCATAATAATTCTGTTCATATTTGACATGGAGCAATAAAGAGAGAATACTTGGTAGCTTGAACTCATGATTTCAGTATTATATGACGATTGCGTAATGTTGCAGTAATTCACCAGTGCCCCTGCGATATAAGAAGAACAGTCATGAGATGGATGAATCGATTGCTTTCAAGTCTGATAAAGCTAGGAAAAAACTGATGAAAGCATTGGAGGTAAGTTGGATAGAAGTCCGGTATCTGTATGTCTGATGATCAAAATAATGTATGTGTCGGGTCATTTTGCCTTAAATCCTGGTCACCCCAGGTTGTTTCTCCCTAAATTACTTTTTGGGCAAAACTTTTTTTAGGTCTGTTTTGTAGTGTATGGCTTATAGGGTCGCATTTGAAGTTATTCTTAGACTTTCATAGTATTTTTTTCTTAACATAAATCAGGATGAAACAACTTTGGGCAACACGTAGTGAAAATTTAGGACGAAACAACGGATCCATGCATTTTTAATTTGCAAATTTATAATCATGTCAAAAGCATGAAAAAAAAATCTTTTTGCAAGTTAGATTTTTTAGGATAATTGCTTTTTTTAAAGTGTCTAACTTTCTTCAATGTTGGTAATACAGACAGGAAACAGTCTCAAAAACTGATAGGTTATAGTGCCATGTGTTTGCACAAAATGCCTTTGAGATTATGGGATGGTGCATTTCTCCTGAAACTACTTTTTCTTAAGAATTATCTCGGGATTGAGTGAACCTTGAGTCATGAAATTTATCTATACGTTTGTTTCCACGTAATAGCTTCCTTAAATGTTTTATATAAATAAACAATATCCTGATGTTGACTTTTCATAAACATCATTTGATCAACATGTTGGTTCCAGTGAGCTCTTTCTTCCTTATCATTAGGTGAACATGAAACAAGCTCGGCTACACACAATCTTTAAAATGAATGTTCAACATGGAGCAACATCCATAACTAAATAGCATCCTACTACATCAAGCTGATCAATTGATTCATAAAAGTGCAACTACTTCCGTAAACATCTTTGCGACTTCATTAAAATTGTTCCAACTTGTTATGGATGTTAGTATGTACTGTCAAAGATATATTGGCCTTTTTGTACAGCGAGCATTAAAAAGTTATTACCTGATCTGATATCCTAGCATCATTTTGATATACCATGTATTCATGTGTTAATTTCAGATAAATTCATTATCTAACTATTCATTTGTTAATAAAGAACACTTGATTTATTTTTCCTTCAGTTGATAAGGGCTTTAATTCTCTCCAACAGTGACAAGTCTTACACAAGGAGCATGTCACAATATAACGGTATATTGAAGTGCAGGACCTGTATCTTTTGTACCACAATACAGCAAAAAAAATTCCGATACACTTCTTTACACTTGTTTGTACAATGCTATATATATACATCATTTGTTGATATCGATAAAAAAGATTGTAGACATATTTAAAATGTTAATATTTTCTGCAGTTTCTGTTTCCTAAGATCTAATAGATCAGCTATGAAGTAGAATAATCAAATGAATCTCATAGTGTGTTTTGGTTACTTCACAACTCAATTTAGGAGTCCTGTTAATTTGTTGAACAGCTTTCACTACATGTACGTGTCATAATCTGCTCCAAACATCAACAAAAAAAGGCTGCAGCTATGAACTAGTATTGTACTGAGAGTGGGGGATACAAACAAAATTAATTTTAGAATTTAACAATTTTAATTATAACTCAAAACTAGTTTGTCTTATATTATAGTAATTTTATATATAATAAGCTTGATAGAATAGAATATGAATTCAAACAATTTGCAGGAGTTAAGGCATATAGCCAATAATTTCATACATATACCAAACTTAGAAGGGAGGTTTTAACAATTTGCTTTACATCAAATGTGACTTAAAGGTAGTTCTTATTTTACCCCTGCAACAAAGTCAGAGTTGTAGGAGGATGTGTACCAGTATCATATGTATTATACTGAAATCAATTTTAAGGAAACTCCCTTGATGCAATCATAACTCTCTGTAGTAGAACGCCTGTACTTGCACACTAGATCAGGTTATTTAATGGGAGTTATGCCCCTTCTCACAAAAACTCTCGGCCAAATCTTGTCCAGACGACTTCTTTAATTTTTCTCTTGATTCCACACTCTGAAGTTGTGCATTACTGCTTATCTATGCTGTACAGGGTTGCAGGGTTATATCCATTAGCCAAATTTGACTGTTTATATTTATGTACATAAGTATTAACATAATATAACTTTTAAGAATGTTTTTTCACATGATTGTATTTGATAATTGCATTAAATTGGCTTTATTTCATTATTCTTTATGAGGGTGTGGGAAGTATATGTTAGCTTGTGGTTTACAGTTTTCAGAATATTTCCTTTCTGATTATAACCTTAGAATCTTTAAGGTAGTTGATACATTGTAATTATAGGAAAACTAATATCACTGTACTTGTCAGAATCGACAACCTTATAAATTTGAATCTTTCAATCATTGATAATTCATAATTACTGTCAGCTGTACAGTATACAATGTCCATTGAGTAATGATATACAATTTTCTCTTGTCGCATGTATAAGAAGTATGATCTTAAGGATCCCTGTCCTGTTGTAGGCACAACATACGCTAGTGAATTCTGTGTATGCTTTTCCGTACCTACAGTAACCCCCCCCCCACCCCCTTCATTTAGTGAGATAGAGTCCTTGACCTACTGCTAATCAGGTAGCTCGTGGATCAGTTGGTTAGAGCAACCGTATTGTGATATTATGATAGGAGGTGTCTGGGGTTCAAATCCTGTTCTGGACCAGTTTCATTTTCACTGTGTGAACACTGCTGTTTATTAATACATTAAGTTACTAAACACTTGTTTTATCTTTGTCTCACACAGAATGGTGATGATGATATCTGCAGTGACAACCAAAACTATGATGGGTATGATGGATCTCTGCCCATCAAAGAAGATCAAAGGTTAGTGTCCAAGAATTCATCTTCATCCAGGAAAGGTAAATCCAGAAAGAAGCCATCCAGTACATTAGAAAACATTATACCAGCGCCTACAGACTTTGAAAGTTTCAACCATCCTTTCAAAACGGAAATTGAACAGAAACAGGAGTTTGCCAAACACCAGAGGAAGATGCAGATAATAAATTATCTGTACCAGAGCTATGACAGTGACTCTGCCTCCCAGAGCTCTTTGTGTTCAGGACTATCAGGTGACGACCCCACAAAAGCCATTCCCACACCCCCTCCTTCTGTCACCTCCTCCCTGTCCACAGAAACACTGTCATCATGCTCTAGAGAAACTCATCGCCAGAGAAGGGGAAAAAAACGAAAGGGCTGCGATGGGGAGCAGGAAGCTGTTGCACCGCGACGTAGTAAAAGGACTCGAGTTAGCATATCTGGACGTTACGACGAGGTACAGAATGTGATTGACACGCAGATGATTGAAAGTGTAAAATGTCACGTTGTTAATATGGAGCGTATCAAATCTAATATCAGCAGTTACTTCGGTGCCACTGACCGTCTGAAGAAGGGAGAGAAGTATGATGTGTTGGCTAAACGTGTGAAGCCTGGCGGGAAAGTACAATATTTGATTGCATGGGATGGAATTGTAGCATAGACATTTGACATTACTATTGTTTTTATATGTATCTTGTTTCTAACACAAGAGTTCGATGCTGTTGTTAATGTGGCCATAAGATTCTAGGTATTATTACTGTGTGTGCCTGTGTGTGCTATGTCTGTATGAATGTTTTGTTTTACCCCAGCGTTTGATGCTTGGAGCGTGGCCACAAGACATTTGGTGCGATGTATTACACAGGTGTGCGGGTGAATGATTATATTGATTGTAACACCGGGGTTCAATGCTGTTATGAGCATGGCTTTAAGACATTAGCTATCACAGTTGTGTGTGCGTTAGGGTATGTATGATTGTTGTTTCTGGCACCAGGGTTTGATAGTGTTATGAGCATGGCTTTAAGACATTAGCTATCATAGTTGTGTGTGCGTTAGGGTATGTATGATTGTTGTTTCTGGCACCAGGGTTTGATGGTGTTGTAAGTGTATCTAATAACACAATTAAAATAGTTAGGAAGAGATTTTTGACTTGTGATCAAAGAAGCAGGTATGAAAATGGTTGTTTACAAAAGACTGTATGTGTTCTGTTCCACAGGCACAACTAGAGAGCATCATAAAGAACGACTTCGGTAGATTTATGATGATAAAATATATAAGGATTAAAGATCTTAATGTGGCTAACAGATCAATGCAAATTATACTTAATTGAAAATTGAATTGAAGAATGAATGAAACCCATCTATCTCGTGTTCTGCAACATTTTGTTTTCAAAACCATGGATTTGGTAAAGAAGGACTACATAATAATTTATTCAGTGGATTTGAATTGAGAGAAATGAAGTTTCATATAACAGGAAACTAGATAAATAGGTATCGTGATAGTTAGAATGAGTGATGAAAGTTTTGAGTGATTTTTAGTTTCATAGATTACTATATAGTGTGAATGCTAAATAATGTAAGTGTACATTTCTATATATATATGTCTGTATTCATGTGATTTTATCGAACATGGACTTGAAAGATTTGTTTGATCATTACGAATGAAAGGACAGTGGTTGATAACGACTGAATTTGATATGTGCTATCAAGGATCAACGACAACTTGAGCTTCAGAAAAGCCTTAAATGTAATTATTTTTGTATTAATATATTTTTTGAAATTTCCGATAATTTTTCCGATGATTTTTAGCTGGGTGTTAATGATGTTACAATACTGAGCGCTTGTGCTGATATGTATGACTATGTGATTAAAAATTATGTTGGTGTTATGTTGCTATGAATATTTTTTTACGATATGGAACTTAGTAAGTACCGTGTTTTAGTGAAGATTAATGATGTATATCCTTTCACTGTGTTTTCTGTGAAAACTATAATTTTTTATACAGTGAAAATAATTGTGCCAGTCCGCAGAGGACAAAAAATGTCTGTTTTGTGGCAGATGAGACTCATTGTAATTGATTATGTTCATGCAAGATTGATTAGATCCTAGGTCAGGAGGTGTAAATAAAGAATACTTTCATAATCATAACTGTTTTTTTTAGAAGTATCTATCTGATATGTTTTAACTGTTTGGACCAAATGTAAGGTGAATTTATTGATTCATTGGTTTATTGGTTAGTTTTTATATTTCTTAAATTTGAATTTTATACTGCACTCTGTAGATTTGTGACGTTTCATGTATGATTTGGAGTGAAAGTGTCTGTAATTATGTTTGTAGGTAATCACTCTATCTACCGATGGTACCACAGTTCATTCAAAATCATTTCACATTAGTAAAGTAGTAGTGTCAGATATTAAAACATTTGTTATTTTGAAGAAAAAAAAATCATCAATTCATAAAAAAAAAAATTCATTAATTCATTTTTCAATTCATCATTCTTTTTTTTTCACAAATCATGAAGTCCAGTATGCATACTGTGTAAAATTTTGTGCAATTTTATATGATTATTGGGAAAATTGGCAGAAGGGTGAACATACTCGATTTGTAACAGGGTAAACACATCACTCTTTCACGACTATTCTCACTTAGTAAGGAATATGTAATTCCTTAAAAATTAAAATGTCAGAGAAAACTTTCCTGATATCCCTGCCATCCTGTCCTGCCATGGTTAAACCACCCTGATCCAATTTCATCTCTTGTGTCTTCATTTCTAAGCTGATTTCGATAAAACTTAAAAAGGTTGTATAAAAGAATACCTCAGGAGTCCATATTTTAATGCTCCAAAGTCAAGGTCAAGACCAGGGTCACACTGTTATCTCTGATTAGATTTTGATCAAATGGATTAAGGTCTTGCATCAGAATACCTTAAAAGAGTTCAGTGTAAGTTCCAAGGTCAAGGCAAAGGTCAAGTTTAAATACAAAAAAGGATGGTTACTGTGTTCAATCAGAATTTTAAGGGGAAAATGTAGTTTTTGACTTTGTTATTACCATTACGTGTAAACTTCATTTGTAAGTTATTGTTTTATGTTCACTATATACATAAGTTGTATACATTCACATCAAATATTAGCATAGAACAATAGGTATTAAAATGTTGACTATATATAAGACAGTTTGACAATCAACAGTTGTGCCTTGTAAAAGACTTTGTGTTTCTATATAACGGAGGTAAATGTGCAACTACCAACATTTAAAATTCACTAGACTTTTGTAACTGCCGCGGTGGCCAAATGGTTAAGGCATTGGACATTCTGCTACCACTAGCCCTCCACCACTGGGTCGCGGGTTCGAGAACTACGCGGGGCAGTCGCCAGGTGCTTGCCGTTGGTCTGTGTTTTTTCTCTGGGAACTCCGGCTTTCCTCCACCATCAAAACCTGGCACGTCCTTAAATGACCATAGCTGTTAATAGGACTTAAAACACAAACAACCAAACCAAACGTAGACTAGTAAATTAAAATAAGTCATCATTAAGGGAAGTATACTATAAAATTCCATGAAAGATTTCTTTGTGGTATTGAGTAGTGATGGGCTAATGGGGGTTATACATATATTTTTTAAATTTTCAATGCAAATATAGTGTAGTGATGAGCGACTCGCACAGATTGTTACGTTATACACATTTACAGTGATGAATCTATATATTAGGTCCTATTCTCAGGAGTTTTGTTGGGACTCGTAGAGTTTCTGGGAACACTAAAAATTAACATTGTGGGACCCGTTATTGTAAGCAATACAGTTAAAAAGGAGCCATGGAAATAATGTAGATTGATCACTGCATTTATCGCAACTTTGTTTTCAAGACAGTGGCCACATATCGGTAAAACACCTTGAGGATTGGCATATTTTGGGACCACGGTTTAATATATTATATTTATATACATTGCAAGTTATGTATTACCATGCACAAGGAGTAAGACATTTTGGTTTGTCCTGGTAATGTTTAAGATATTTGTTTCATGAATAAGAAGTTCATCTAGAAATTTTTGTGTCATGTTTTTGCAATGAACTCTTCTTGAATGATTCAGATATGAATTATTTTTAGTGGAAGGGAGATATTATAATAGGTGAAAGAGTTGATGTATGCAGAAAAGATTTAATATCAAAGTAATTCAATTATTATTAAACCATTATTTACTGCCAAAAAATACTTGTTTTGGAGGTCATCTAATTTTAGCACTTTTCATGATTAAAACCTAGAGCTAAATTGATAGCACTAGTTGCAGTAAATGGATATTGTTTCTATTAAATATATTTTGGTTGCACCAGTCTGTCAATGTGCTATAATCTGTTAATATTGATTATGTGCTAAAATTTGACTGCGCTAAAATAAGTATGTTTACAGTATACCGGGTACATGTACAAAATATGAAAGTTTGGTGTAGCTATTATCAAGGTCTGTCTGAAGCTAATATAGTTATTGTCATTGTGAGCTTCGGCTGGCTGTCCCTGACAATTGTGAGTGATACTTTGAGAATACAAATGTACCTGAATATGGTGTATTATCATCTCTGCAGTTGTCCACATGTTTTATTTGTTAAATTGTTCACTTTGTTTAGAGAACAGTTTCAAATTTGTCCCTGTAAATATTGCTCTATAACACAAAAAAATAGTCACTATATTTGCAAAAATAAAAATTATATGTTTTTTAATCAAATATTCTTGGCTGAGTTATTCTGTGATTGTGAGCCACCCTTAGTACCATTGAAGGGAACTTTGGGTTTGGATATGACCTGTCCGTATGTCTTGTGATCAGGGAGTGCCGCATACTGGAAGTGGACCTTGTGCTCCTTTCTTTACAGAGATAAGACTGTTGCTTTACTCCCATTTACTTCGTCTGAACATATCCCGTGTACTCATGTTATCCCCTACAAATGCATTTGTCTGAATGCCCAAGGTCAAGGTCTCATTGCTGTCAAAGGTCAAATTCATTGTCCGAGGAATAACTTTTGTTTCACTGATGATAACTGAAGCAAATTTTCTGATATATGTGGGATGGAAAGGTGGTGTGTCTCTAACCATTTTTGGGTCTGTATGCTCAAGGTCAAGGTCACATTTGCGTCAGTTGTCGACTCGAGTTCATTGTTTGGGCCATATCTTCTCACTCACTGAAGATAGCTCGACTAAATTTTAGGAATATATGTAGGACGTGTTGGTTTCCTCTACACACCTAAGTGATTTAAGAGATAACAATAGTACCAGGCATAATTAAATTTCAGGTCAAGGTACGTAACTCAACATCTAGTTAGTAATATGCATGCCTTCACCCACACACTTTGTATTAGATTCTGTTAATTTTTTGGGGAGCCTCGTGCTTTTTTTGCAATTGAGTAATATCTTGTTTGAATTGAAAGAAAGTTCAAAAAATTCAGACTTTCACATTTTCCGGACAGATCTCATAAACATATATCAAAGAAAGGTAACACATATCACACTAGAATAATGTCATGCTGTGCGGTGCTTTGTTTTTAGCTCACTTGCCCTTCGGGCAGGATGTCGTGGTGCTTCGTCCGTCCGTCCTTCCTCGTCCATCAACAAAGTTTGAGAACGAAAATGACCTTGACCTACTTTAAAGGTCACAGGGGTCAAATATGTCAAAAACTTCAAACGACTTCTGAAGAACTAAAAGGTATAGAATCTTCATATTTGGCTGATTAGTTCCTGGGATGGAGCCCAACAAAGGTTGAGAATGAAAATTACCTTGTTCTACTTTCAAGGTCACAGGGGTCAAATGTGTCAAAAGCTTCAAATGAATTCTTCTGAAGAACTGAGAGGTATAGAATCTTTATATTTGATTGATGGCGTCCTGGGATAGAGCCCGACAAAGTTTGAGGAAGAAAATGACCTTGACCTCCTTTCAAGGTCACAGGAGTCAAATGTGTCGGACACTTCAAACGACTTCTTCTGAACAACTGAAAGGTATAGAATCTTTATATTTGGCTTGTAGCTTCCTAGGAAAAAGCCCAACAAAGTTTGAGAATGAAAATGACATTTACCTACTTTTAAGGTCACATGAGGCAGATATGTCAAGCACTTCAAATTACTTCTTCTGAAGAACTGGAAGTTATAGATCCTTAATATTCGGCTGGTTATTTCCTGGGAAAGAGCCCAACAAAATTCGCGAATGAAAGTGACCTTGACCTACTTTCAAGGTCACAGAGGTCAACAACATTTTAATGGATTTGTTCTTAAGAACTTAAAGGAATGGATTCATAAGATTTGGCTGGTAGCTTTTGGAATAGAGCTTACCAATTTGAGAAGGAAAATGACATTGACCTACTTACAAGGTCACAGGAAAAAATATGTCAAGCAACTTCTGAAGAATCAAAAAGCATAGAATCTTGTAATAATATTTTACTGGTTGTTTCAACAGTTGGAGCCAACAAAGTTTGTGAGGGAAATATTTTTAGTGCAATATGATATTTAATGAGAACATTTTGCTATGACTGCTTAAATATTCAGGTGAGCGATACAGGCCCTCTTGGGCCTCTTGTTTGTATCGCCCCGAAGAAGTGGAAGCTAGACTAAGGTGTCGACATTCAATTTGTGCTCTTTTTTTACCGGCAATAAGCCTCCCCCCTCCTGAGAAAAAAGATGGGCCAAAAGTTGGGAGGGGGCTTAATGGCTAACAACCCCCCTGTTTACAAATGTCCGCCATCTTGGATATATACCACCAGACTGAATATTTTATAACAGTCACCAAAAGTTGATAATTTTCTATCATCAATTTGTCTCGAAATATTAATTTTATCAAACACCATTTTTATTTTTTTTATTGATAAGTCAATCAGTACTCTTTAAGACACAATACTAACATTCAGAGGTGTAACAAATTACTAGCACGTCGACCAGGCTCTCTGGTGTTTGGCTAGTGCCATTACATGATTTGAATATATACCGTACTATGAAATTCGAGTATACAAGGCTTAATTAACACAAAACCATTGTCTTAATCATACAAAAACAACACAACAACTTATCTGTATGCAGGTTGCAAGCATTATGACCAAGAGACATGTTTTTATGGATAAAAGTCTTCCAAAAAATGATGTATTTGATCCAGCAGCCATGTTTTTGACAACTGTTTTGGTTGATACACATTTCTGAATGGCAATATGATCAAAATGACCTTGACAGAAAGATTTGAAATGAAAACAAATATCAATTTAAAAACGATTTTACCTATCTGTTACAACTCATATATGTATTTTAAAGTGTTTTCATGATTTGCTACTTCAATACAGACTATAGATATAATGGATTTGGTACAAGCAACATGTTTCGTTTTACATTGAAATCTGCAAAATACACAACCGGTTAAAAAACGAAAGCATGGTATTCTTTCAGCAACAGAACGATGTTTTGTTTTTAAGTTACGCCATCTAGATATTTTGTTATGTTTAAATCATATTCCATAATCATGTGTTATAATATTGCTTATGTCAGAGACAAAAATTGACATACATTTTTTTTGAGATGGAGACAACATAAGGCAGGGGGCTTAATGCCAGGCACCCACCCTGTTCCCCGCAGGACATTAACCAAAGTGGGGAGGGGGCTTATTTGCGAGAGGAGGCTTATTGCCAGTAAAATACGTTAGGACTGAAAGTGTAAGTGCTAGACTTTAGGTAGTACATCTCAACCCATGCATCAAATGCTGGATGAGGCCTACTTTTCATGGTCCATTGACTTTGTCAGCATCTCCATCAATATTAAGCTTTTACTTTTACGTTAATTTCTCGGAAACAATAAGTGCTACACCAACCAAACTTGACATGTGCATTGATGGTCAAAGCAGGGCACAGTCAAGACATATCAATCCGAATGGCTTGTTAATACAAAGTTTGTCTGAGTTCTTGCTCTTTTGCTATTTAACTATTTCACATGGGCTCACCAAACTTCTTTTACTTCTGTATCTTTGACTGTTAATAATATTTTCTTCTTTATTTTTAAATTTGAATAAAAATATCATAAAGGCTGCATCCTTGAATTGGTGCTGGGACTATGGATTTCTCATAATACTTGCTAAGTCATTCATGCAATGTATGTTTTCATTACATAACACAGAGGTGGCTAATTGTGGGAATTACTGTAAATTCAGACTTAAGGATATGCATAGCACTGCTAACATCTATAACCTAGTGTTGGAGATTTTTCTGGTATGACAATATGTTTGATAAATCATTTCTGAAAAGAAAACTGTACCTTGTCAGGCTTTCACGAGAAGCGATAATGATGAAGCAAACAAAATATATCCAATACCTGTTCTGAGTGGGAAACAATCAGCGGTTCTGGACCATGGTGGGAACTAGATTATTATACTATCGCTCTAACCACTTGAGCTACCTGGTCAATGAAGTGTCATGGCCTAACTTTGCTACATTTATATCAAACGGAAGTCAAGAGGAGGTTACTGTATATAGGAAAAAACAGTGCAGTGGGACAGGGGTCCTTAACCGATATCTGGCCTTAATGTAGGGCTGTCACAATATATCCTGATACACTCTAGGCGTATTGTGACACACATACTTTAAGGTCATCCTGATATATGTGACAGCATGGACAGGATATGTTTTTAGGTCACCTGAGCTTTCCGTGCGTCGTGCGTAAACCTTTCACATATCCAACTTCTTCTCAAGAACCAATCGATGGAATTTTTTCAAACTTGGTCAGAATCATCCTTGGTAGATGAGGTTACTAAATTTTAAAATTGGGATTCCTACCCCAACCCCTGGGGCCAGGGTGGTCCCTGAAGGGAAAATTAACCAATATTTTAAAAATCTTCTTCTCAAGACTCAGAGGTACTACAGTCATTTTCTCTGCATGGATGGAAAGATCATCCGGGGCTTTATTTTAATTGTTAATTTTAGGACCCCCTAGCTATCCGTTCCCCTTGGGGAGGGGGTAAAGTTTACTATAGTTTATATAGTGAAATAACACTTTTGGGTATATTTTATCCATTTTCAGCAGAAAATTATTCAAACTTGGTCAGAATCATCTTTGGTGGATGAGGGTATTACATTGTAAAATTGGATTCCTGCCCCATCCCCAGGGGCTAGGGCAGGGCCCCAAAGAGGATATTTACCAATATTTTCAAATTCTTATCCTTTGATGACATGACAAGTATTGTATTTCACTTAGTTTACATGCTGATTTCCACATCATATCTAAACAATAAAATAAAGCTACCAGTACCCATGATATAACTCAGGTGACCGCTAAGGCCCTTGGGCCCAAGGGCCTTTTGTCTTTGTCGAATCCTGCCTATTAAGTTTCAAGACAACAGTTGTCAAATGTGATATCAAAGGAGATGTTAGCACAAACCAAGACGTCAACATGATATTCGACCTGTAGAATCGAGTGGTAAACAAGTTTAAATAAAATGAACGACTTTCATTTAATATCACAAGAGTTAAAATGCGTAATAAATGTCAAAAGAAAAACGATTGACATAGGGTCACAATATTTGGAAATTATCTCGCTTGGAATTAATTTATCTTTTTTAAGCAAAACATAAATGACCTTGTTCAAGATTTCAGATGTAAAATGTACTAAACATTTCAAACGACTCTAGTTTTAATGAGCCAGGAGTCCTAGAAGCTTTTTTGGCGGCCTATGTTTTTCCAAGGAAAAGGAATTATATATGAAC